TCTACCTCTAGAATGATAATTATCTCATCAACCTACAAGGAATGGACGTAGACCGCTCCTCATATTTTCCACATCTATGGTCGAATCTATCGTCAAAAATGACTGGAAATTCGCGATACGGCCTCAATAGCTATGACACAACGTTGTCTGTCATTCCTGAGGGCATAACCAGCCTCCCATAGCATATCTCTCATAGCACTCTTTGCTGTTAGAAAATATCTCATGACCGCTAAATAATATCCATTAATATGGCACGAGCACAGTATAAGGCGAACTTTTCTGCAATAGGTTCGTTTTAAGAGTTAGCTTACTACAATTATACGCAATGTATCACTTGCTGTTGACACAAAAAGTTTGAGCTGAGAGTAAAAAATTTGTCTCTGTCACTGATGCAGCCTTGTGTTTTGCCCGAAAGTAGCGTATACAATTGCGTTCTTGACAAGGCCGAAATTTTGTGACCGTAGGATCCATTGGAATGATTGCAGCACTCCTCGCTATCATTGGTCTCAATGATGGATTCGCCCGTGACCGAGGAAGAGGTCAACTCCTTCTCCGGTATTGATCGTACAGATTTCGAATTCTTTGATATCACCGTTCTTCAAATCTCTGCAAAGTATTTTGAAGAGAGCCCTCTCGAGCTCAATAAAAACTACTGCGTGGACCAATAATGGGAGTTCACCACCTTCAGACTATACTGGCCAGTTAAGTTAGTAGCCTTTTTACACCACAAACTCATGAAGTTTCACTGCTCCACTCTGGGGGTGGAAACGATAGGGCAGTAATTCTCCAACGTAGAGATGACAATGGACCATCTTGATTATCATCACGGCCTCACCCTTCAATTCAAAGATAGCTGTCGCCTCGCTTTAGTGGCTCTTGCGCAGCACACAACCAATTTCCTACGTTCCTACATAACTCGACTATACAGTATCATGACAACAGCTACAATCAGACGTATGACCGGAACTTAATCACGACATACCGTCACTAGTACCTGTTTCTCCAGATGTATATATTAAGACCGTGATAACCGATCGCTTCTGTAGCAGGGTATCACGTACCCTGGTATGAAGGGTGGGTCACACAAGATGTTGTGGCCGTAAAAGGGTGTGGATTGCACATGTCGGTGTAATCACATTATGGTGTGGCTACACCGTAACAAGAAGCCACTACGTGGCGGGGCTGCTAGTAATTAATTAGATTTTCTTATTATATTAGGAGAACCTAGAGTTCAAATATAGGCTTCTCTGTTGCAAATAAAACAAAAAATTTAGTTTCAAATTGAACGGAAGAGTGCATTTACCTTGGGTAAAGGTTCTGGGTAAGCGGATTGAGTTCCGCTACACTCATACTGGTTCTAGTGTAGAACGTAAGGTTGGTGACCTTAGTAAGCTTCCTTTAAGCAAAGAGCTACGGCAGCCCCGCTGCAGCTTGTTCCTGTCTCATCTGAAACTTGCGGTTTAGCTCGAGGGACTTAGCAATATCGTGGTCATCAGGGCGATACCGTGTTCCTTACCAAAGCAATTGGAGTATATATCCGCGCTAAAAGCGATTCTGATTCCTAGCGAAGGTGACACCATCGATCACCACAACACTGCTCGATGAGCAAACGTGGTCTACTGTGACACTGCTTTCAAGGGAGAGACTCACTATTGATGTGACTAATATTACTTGAAGTGAAAGAAATTTCTCAGGAACTTACGTGCATTTGAAGACAAATTCGGACAAGATTGTCTTAGTCCTTCTTTAAATTACAAGTTGGCACATCTTCTGTGATACCGTTGGTGATGAGACAGTGTTCCGAATGCAGCGAAACTTCCGGATGGGGTCCAGCCTGACAATTGAGCAGGCGGTACCAGTTAGCGAATTGGAGTGAGTAGCGTGTTGACAGCAAAAGATTGACGTGGTAATTAAGCACCATGACATCCACTCTGCGCTTTGTTAGTTTTGATTCCCGCTTTAACCGATTTCTATACATTTACATCCACTACTTCAAAAATGGCTTGACAATCTGTGAGATAGGTGAGGCGATGATGTTTCTTCGCTCAGTATGCAGAGTTAGTACAATTTCTCAGCACTTTTGCAGCAATGAGAATCAAGGTATTAAATATATACTCCACTTCTGTAAAGTGATGACCTGAGGGATCAGAAAGCGCTTTATTAGCGGCTTTCGGAAGCCTGTCTTGCGCTCTGCTTGAGTGCAAGATCTGCTTTCATTTGTGTGTTATAGCCTCGCCGTGGCGTGGCGGGGCTTGCAACTTCCGATATATCGAGCTTATAATCACGACGTAATATATGCTGTAAAAGTTCAAATCGACTCTCGCCGGCGAGATCGAAATGCTGAGCCAACTGCAGCACATTGATATCGGCTGATCTTTGTCGTAAGCTCTACGGCGAGTTGCCGCGGCACCTTTTCGCCAACGAGAACGCAACAACATTGGAAATATTTGCACAAAAGAGGATCGGCTTTGCCATATATCGCTCGGTGGAAGTACATTTACTAGGTCGGGATTTAAAAAGTCACTGTGGCTGTTCTCATCGAGAGTTTCCTCTCCTGTTTCGTCGAGTATAGCTATATAGTCGTCCGCGGACACCGTGTCTTTCTGGAAACATATTGTGCTGTGTGATAGCATTAGAAAGGGCATCCCGATGCGATTAGGCTCGTTAGAGCAGGTACTGAGCGGAGCAATTGGAGAAGAAGATCGTGCGCGACGGGCACTTAATGAGCGTTTATGTTTGCGCGACACCTCAAAAGTGGTGTTCGTAGGCATTACAATACATTTAAACTAAGATACAAATGTATCAAAGTACTTTTGAGGCTTTCTTTATGACCTGATTCTACCGAAGAGGAAAATGTAGACTTTGTAAACAGAGTTCTTTGGGATACGTGAGCTGCCAGCTTCATCTATGGAGGATGTCAGAAAAACGAAGTGCATCCTAAAGCCCATCTTTTGTGCTTTCATCATTGCGGACACCTATATACTTTTGGTGTGTTAGGGAACGGCCATCCTTTGCTCTTTCGCAAGTAATGGTCCATTCTGGCGCGGAAGCCTTTAGCTTAAAGACCGCGCCTGTGACGTGCCGATGCGTCGTCGGTATCGGAATCACCTTCATGTCCATATCAATTTTTCACAAAGGAAACTTTTTTTAATCATCGCCCTCGGACGGCAAAATGCTCGGCATCAGCGGCGTTGCAGTGGGAGACAGTTGTGCATTCACCGGTGTCATGCATAGTGGAATTTCACGAGTGCATTCCCAAGGCTCGCGTACTTCTGACAGCAGCTGAAGGACCGCCAATTTCGATCTTTTGCTGGGACCGACCAAGTACAAAAAAAATCTTGCTAAGCATATTTTGCTGTCCTGTGAGCATGTAGAATTGCATGTCATGTTACACTTTCAGAAAGGATACGTTCCATCAGGACCACTTTTTGTCAATCATTTGCCGTATTGACGAAATGTGGTCTTAATGGAACGTTGTTGTCTAGCAAATCAACTAGTTAAAGCTATGGCCTTATGATTCCACATCAAATAACGCATCAAGAAGGCTTTTGCTCGCTCCACCTGGGTGCTTCATCTAGATTTAGTGCTCCTCTTGCGGTAATGTTAAGAATGACAAATGTCTTGAAGTGAAAATCGCTTGCATTAATACTAAACATATTTTTCATCTATCATTATGAAGGCATAATTAGTGCATAATACAGTGGCTAGCAGACTGTGTTTCACGCATCGCGGTATTACGATTCATACTGGACCCAGAAGTAATAGAACTCGATACTTAATGAGATTTCTTCACTCTGATCTGCGATGTTTGCTTTATGCCCGAAGAACAATTACAATAATGTAATGTGTACGTGCATCAGCATAGAGACGCTTTCCTTTATCAAGACACAAAACAATGACACTACACTGGTTGAAGCTCGCGATGTTCGAACGTTGACCCTTTTTCTCTGCATACGCTGTGAAAAATGCGTGTCTTAAGCTTTGGCGATAAAACCAAAAGGCTTGGATTGCGATCACTTTTCCATCATATTCACGATGGAGAGGGTAACTTTGAACTATATCGATTGAGGAGCTGTTAATTTTGGGTAACAGGGAGACCGTGTTGGTGCTAAAGTCACAGGAATGGCATCCCGTTCGATTTTCTGCCAAAATGTATGTTAGTCAGCATATCCATCCCACCACATCATAAATCAGGTCGAATATCACTAGTAGTGCGATGCGTTCAGACCTTTTTGACGAAAATCTCTTCACAATTATGATAAATCTGTAACAGAGTTACACGAACCCTAATAACAGGGGTGTGTGCGTGTCACACGAGATGTGCATAATGTGTCCACACACCCAAACAGAAATACGGTACGGGGCTAGGTAGCCAGTAGTTGACTATATACATTTAGTATATTTAGGAAGTTCTGAACTTTTGACATTAGGATAAAAAAATATAGAAAAATCAGTTTCGATTTTGACCAGAAGTTTTCGTTTGCCTTACTTAAGGCTTTTACGTACGTTAGAGGCAGCGGATTGCTATCCGCTGCACTGATATTTGGTTCTTATAAAGAACGAAAACTCGGTGACCTAAAAACGCTTCCTCAAGCGCAAAGCTACGGCAGCCCCGCTGCACTTGGTAGCACTTGTAGTC